TCAATAGCATTGTGAACAGCACTTGCAGCAAGCTGAATCATAGCCTCCGCATGGGGATTGTTGTGGTAGTTTGTACTTCCCCACGAACTTTCCACGCACCCAACCACTGTGCCTTCAAGGCTAAGAGGAATGTATAATGTTCCCGCAATTGTGCATTCTACTCCTGTTGACACTGTCTTTCCAAGTGGCGTACTCTCATCAAGAGCGGCGGCAGTGCCATAGACTGGATCAATAAGCAAAGCATCATTAGGATCAAGGTAGTATACGCGACACCTGCTAGACTCAAGTACATGACCGAGTTCCTCGTTTAAACATTGAAAAATGTTTTTCATTGGTTTTCCCATAATGAGTGTGCGCTCCATAATTGGCAAAAACTCCTGCTGTTGTTTTGATGTTGGGGCTGCAACAGACTCAATGGACGCCACAATCTCAGAAAGTAGTTCTTGGGGAGCCTTCATTAAGAGTGAGGCAAATGCCTTTTTTTCAGAAGGGGAGAGTGTTTTTTTATTGCGTTGGTATCGCCCCAAAATGGACTCACCAATGGCGAAGGCCTCGCAGAGATGGTTAGATTCATGCAGTACATCATTGCGATTAGTTACGGGCCGTTGTTGAGTGAACATAACGGGGAAGAATTTTTCTTGTGCTGATAAAAATAAAGCACTAAACCTAAAAAAAAAAAAAAAAAAAAAAAACAAAGAAAACAGAAAGAAAAGGGAAGACAACTATTAACTACATCAGCATCAATAGAATTAACAAAAATAATAATGTCAGATTCTAAAAGAAAAAGAAAAAATATATGTATATAAAAGAAGAAAAGAAGGTAACTTGCGATACCAACTCTTTTTTTTTTTTTTGAGCTTGTACAAGAGTAAAACAAACAGTATGAAAAAAAAAAAAAGGTCCTGCTCTTCAAAGAAACAACAAAAAAAAGTAGAAGAGGGAGTATGTACAGGGAATAGCATCACCACTAGACCTAAAACAGTAGTAACAGTGACACATTCAAAAAAAAAAAATGGTCACGCAAAGTTTCTTTTTGTTTTAGAGGTTTTCTTCTCTTCTCGTTTTGTTTTGCGTTCAGGTGACAAGTAAGTCTCCTGCAGCAGTTGGTTAGCCATTTCCTGACGAAAGCAACTTGTTCGCTCAATTACATCATCGTATACTGACTTCCCAAGTCGCGTTTCGGCGAGCAATGTGGCAACAACAACATCGTCCATACTAGTCTTAATAGAATATGTCTGGGGTGGAATAGAAACTCCTTCTGGGTGAATGTGAGAAATATACGTGCCATGATCTGTGCTTCGACCTGCTTTAGCTCTCTCCAAATTACGTAATGCCTTAAAGTATAAACTCTCACGGAAGCGATCCGCTTCCATAAGCATTTTATACTGAGTTGCCTCTGGTTCTGGGAGGGAAGTTCTTGCTGTGATGAGTCCGCGATATTGTGCAAAAAGACGCACAATATCAAAATTTTCAATGTCAAATGTAGCACAGTGGGAAGCGCAATATTTTTCAAAAACTGGTGCATCCTCATCGGTGATAGGTTTAAATTTATCCTTGTCTTCTTCTGTAAGTTGATCATATTTTTTCGAAATGGATGACATATAGCCTTTTGTTGGACGTCTGTTAATATCAAGAACACGTGATACTGCAATGAAAAGAGCTTTTTGTGTTGGTGCCACTGCTCTTAGCATTTCCACAAATGATTCAAAATAACGCATGTGTGGAAAGTACCATGAGAGAGGTAAAACGGTTCCTGATTTTTTGGGGGCTTGAATCACATCTTTCGGCAGCAGTTTTTTTCGGAGTTTTTCCTTGTGTCCAGAGTTTAATTGTGTCAATGTGTTCTTTGCCATATGCGCTGTGAAGACCTCATCCCCCGCGCCGGCCACATCCTCTGTTTGAAAGAGCAGCTGCATCAGCAAATTGAAGTCGTTAAAGGCCTTATCTGTGTTCTTTGCTTTTAACACCAATATCTCGCGGGCCCGGGCGTTGTATCGATGCCGCTGCCCCGGTGTGAGTTGGTGCCAGTGCTGCGAGACCACTCGCATGTTGTCGCGACCGTGTCGGAAGCTGCGGGCCTTTAGAATCCCTTTGTGTTCCTGCAGCTCCCGTGCGAAGAGCGAGAAGCCGTTGATGTGATGCCGTGCATATACCACAGATGTGAGAAGAGGCGACGGACCATTGCCGCTGAAAGAGCAGCATCGTCTCATGTTTATGGAAAACACGCTAATCGCCTGTAAAGGATCACAATAATTAAGAAAAAAAAAAAAGAAAAGAAATAAAAGAAAAGTAAGAAGGGAAATGAATAAATAACATTATAATAACAACAATAAAAAAAAATTAAAAAAAGAGGAGAGAATTTAGTAGAAATAAATAAAACATAGGAAGAGGAAGAAGCACTATTTAATCTTCTATCATCATACTGTTTTTTTTTTGTTTTTTTTCTTCTTTTGTGTGTTCCCCTTTTTTTTTTTTTGAAGTCATCAATTGCATGGAGATGAAAAAAAAAAGAACAACAACAACAGGAACAAAAAAGAAAAAAAAAAAAAATACACCAATCCTTCACTCAACTCAATTCTCACCATGCAATCCCAACACACGCATAAGCGCAAAATGTACACTATACCACAATTTTCCCCCAAAAGACGACCGCTCGAGAATCATCTCACGACTACGATAGGATCGACGAAGAGCAAGTGATGCCATAAATCTTGGCAAACCAATCTTCAAATCATACGTTGTCGATGATTCACTTTTATGCGTGCGAATTTCAAACAAATTCCATCGGAAGAAACGACCGTTTACAACGAGACCCGTTACGGTGGACTCATTATTTCTCTGTCTCCAACTAGATTGATCAAAAGTATACCGCAAGAGCGATTTTAGTAAAAGTGAATCCGCGATAAAAGCCCCACTATTCCACAACCAAGAAAGGTATGATGTGCTCAAGTTAGAATTGTTGCCATTGCGATAATTCACTTCGTAAAAACAATCCGGGGCGTGTAATACCCGCGCTGTTTCTCCCAACGGACTTTCCAACAGTGTCACGGAATTCCAAAAAGTCACACTAGGGCATGGATTGGTCGTGCGGAGTCCACTATCGTAACCGACAAGACCAACGTATAAAGGAAGTCGATATCGGGATATAAAAGAGCGTCCCTTTCGCCTGCGGAGCGCTATAGCCGAAACAAAACCCATGAGAAACGAGAAATCTGCGTATTTATAATTAATTTCATCCAAACAATGTTCCATGAGGCACCACTCAACGTTTGTTGGAGAATAAAGTCGTCGTTCAACAACGTAAAGCAACGTGAAGAAGTCCTTCCGTCGCGCATTTTCCTCCTGAAAAGCGGCTTGGCTTACTTCATTTGCACTAAGGAACATTTACAAACTAGTAAATAATAAAAGAGAAACAAAAAAAATTATTAATTATTACCGCAGCACTCCATTATTGGTAAATCCAAGGGGGAAAAATAAAGGGGTTAATAGTATCTCATTTTTTTTTTTTACTTTAGGTTATTATTGTTATTATTATTATTATGTATATATATATATATATATATATATCGTACAATTGAATTTTTTTTCTTCTTTAGCAGAAGTAGTGTGATATTACAATATGTCAAACAACCAAAAAAAAAAAAAAAACGAAACTTAACAAACAAAGACATCCACATGCGCAGATAAACCACTCTATCAAAAATAATAACGCAAACACTACTCCACGAGCTCCACCACACCTTGTTGAATAAGAGCCTCAGCCTCCTCAAATCCCAAAAGAATTTGTTTACCCTTGTAAAGATTTATCACTGCCCCACTGATAGGAGAGACAAATACATGGTTTACCAAACCACGGACCTCTAATTGCTGCACCGATGGAGGTCTCCACGTGAAGGCTCTGAGATCCAACGGTATGGCGAAGGACGTCATGTACTCCACCATGATGTTATTATACTCTTGTAGAAACGTTATTTCACATGGAGCGAGTACATCCATAATGGCATTATCTTTAGCTTCCCACCAAGCTTCTGTAATTTGTGATTGTCTCCACATAATGTACGCCAAAAGGCAACGCTTGTCCCTCAAGTATTTTGCTCTATAATATTTCATTGAACTCGCATAAAATGGTTGCGATGGATCTGCATAAGGATTACGTGAAATAGACTCCATATGACGGAAGGAATCAGATACACTAGCCACAACAGAACGCACTTTGCGTTCATCAAAGGGAACCATGGCGCCATCACTCACCACAAGTGCCCGCAATTCATTAATGAGTTCAGCAGAAGGATCAACAATATCCTCCATGACTAAAGTTTTCTTTTTTTTT